GACCTTGGCCTGCACTTAAACACAATCGGCGCTGACAAAATTACCAGCTGCAGAAGGCCACCTTACTGGGATTGGCACGCATCATTCACTGATACATGACACAGTCCTAGACACTTGGGAAGGGTCTGACGTGTGATCCAATACAACAGTCAGCAGAGTGATCTTGTTTGCTGTGGACTCATCTTGTTGTGTTCCAAATAATAATAATAATAATAATAATAATAATAATAATAATAATAATAAAGTGTATTACCCATCTCTCCCTGGCTCCAGGCCGTCCCTTCACGTTGCCCCGAGGAACGGAGGATGTGCCCGGCACCAAGCGGAGGAGGAGGCTGTCCAGCAGGCTGCAGGAGTTCACGGCGTGGTTTTCGGCCACAGGTGAGAGGCAAGGACTGGGCTGGAAGGAGTCGGGAGAGAAGGAAGCGGAGATGGGGATGCAATAAGGGTGGTGGCTCAGGCCAAAGGCCTCTCTTAGAAGACTGGGATGATAGAAGCCTACAGTTGGAAGGGTCCCCCAATGGTCATCCAACTCCATTCTGCCATAAAGGAAGACACAATCCAAGTAGAAGAGTCTGGTTCAGCTGTTCCTCATGTTGAGGTGGAATCTCTTTTCCTGCAACTTGAACCTGGTGCAGCAGAAAACAATGGCTCCCTCCTCAGTATGACCTCTTTGCAAATATTCCAACATGGCTCTTTTTGTCCCCTTCTCTCAGTCTTCTTTCCTCCAGGCGAAACATGCCCATCTCCCTCAGCTATTCCTCAGGGAAACTCATGATTTCTAGACTGTTGCTCATTTTGGTGGCCCTTCTCTGGACCTTTTCAATCTTGTCCATCTCCTTGAATGGTTTTGCTCAGAACTGGACATTGGGGTATTGTTCCAGGTGAGGTCTGACCAAAGCAGAAGAGAGAGGCACCATGGCTTCCCTTGGCGTAAACATTATCCTCGTATGGATCCAGCCTAGGATCACGTTGGGTTTTGTTAGCTGCTGCATCACACTCTTGACTTACATTCAGTCTTTGAACAAACTTAATGGACTGGATGAGGTCTAACAGGTTGAAGCTTAATCCAGACAAGACAGAGGTCCTCCTGGTCAGTCGTGGGGCCGACCGGGGTATTGGGTGGCAACCTGTGCTCTCCGGGGTTACACTCCCCCTGAAGGCACAGGTCCGTAGCTTGGGGGTCCTCCTGGACACAACTCTGTCACTTGATGCTCAGGTGTTGGTCCTTTGCACAACTCAAACTAGTGCGCCAGCTGCGACCATACCTCGTGAAGTCTGACTTGGCCAGGGTGGTCCACGCCTTGGTTATATCTAGACTGGACTACTGCAATGCACTCTACATGGGGCTGCCCTTGAAGACGACCCAGAAGCTCCAACTGGTACAACGGGCGGCAGCCTTGATTCGTGTTTGGGCAATGCTGCTGCGTTTGGTGGTCCCTATGGAGACTTGTCCACAGCTGCATGGTGGACAATTTCAACAGAAAGGAGGAAACCATGAAAATGAACAAAATCTGGCTACCAGTATTTAAAAAAAACTCTAAAATTACAACAGCAAAACAACAGAGAGGAAACAATGAGGGCCAGCTAATCACCTCTCAACAAAAGATTGCCCCAGGCACTGCCAGGCCATCAAATGCTAATCAAGGTGGTCAGTTGAAACATTCACACCTAGCTCCAGCAGACAAGAGTCCTTTGTCCCACCCTGGTCATTCCACAGATATATAAACCATTTTTCCTACTTCCAACAGACCTCACTACTTCTGAGGATGCTTGCCATAGATGCAGGAGAAATGTCAGGAGAGAATGCCTCTAGAACATGACCATATAGCCTGAAAAACCTACAATAACCCAGTGGTTCCGGCCATGAAAGCCTTCGACAATACATTGTATTGATTATGTTACTTGGAAACTGCTCTGAGTCCCCTCGGGGAGATAGAGCGGTATATAAATAAAGTTTTGATGTTTTTGTTAAGGTCAAAATTCTTCACGTCATATCTGCAAAGTTTTAGAAAAAAAAGTCCCATTTTTACCTGAAACAATGTTGGCTTCTAACAGAAGGCAATTCTATGACCAAGGTGTGCCAGAGCAGAAAATATGGCCTTCCTTCTCTGGAGTTTTTTTCAGCAAAGACTTGGATGGCCATCTGTCAGGAGGGTTTGGATTGTGTCCTCCTGACTGGCAGAAAGGGGTTGGACTAGATGACCCTGAGCGTGTCCTGTATGAGTCCCTCTATTGCAGTGGTTCTCAACCTACCTAATGCCGCGACCCCTTAATCCAGTTCCTCATGTTGTGTTGACCCCCAACCATAACATTATTTTCGTTGCTACACCATAACTGTAATTTCATTACTGTTATGAATCATAATGTAAATATCTGATATGCAGGATGGATTTTCATTCACTGGACCAAATTTGGCAAACAAATCCCAATATGCCTAAATTTGAATACTGGTGGGGTTGGGGGAGATTGATGTTGTCATTTGGGAGTTGTAGTTGATGGGATTTATAGTTCGCCTACAATCACAGAGCATTCTGAATTCCACCCACGATGGAATTGAACCAAACGTGGCACTCAGAACTCCCATGACCAACAGAAAATGCTAGAACGGTTTGGTGGGCATTGACCTTAAGTTTGGGAGTTGTAGTTCACCTACATTCAGAACGCACTGTGGACTCAAACAATGATCGATCTGAACCAAACTTGGCACGAACACTCAATGTGTCCAAATGCAAACTCTGGTGGAGTTTGGGGAAAACAGACCTTGACATTTGGGAGCTGTAGTTGTTGGGATGTATAGTTCACCTACAATCAAAGAGCATTCTGATCTCCATCAATGAATGAATTGGGCCAAACTTCCCACACAGAACCCCCATTGCCAACAAAAATTTTTTGTATATTCTGACAGTCTTTGGAGACCCTTCTGACCCCCCTCGCGACCCCCCCCCCCCGGGGTCCCGACCCCCTGGTTGAGAACCACTGCTCTATTGCCACCAGTTTCTTGTTAGGTATATATTTTGGGGGGCAATGGGCCTGGGATTCCCCCGTCTAAGCCCCTTTGACTTCCCTCCCCAGAGCACGACAGAGCCGGCAACCCACGGAGCAGGAGGAAAGGCCCAACATTTGCAGGTGAGTTTGTGTAATTGGAGTATGGGGAGAAGGGCCTCAAAAGGCAGGAAGAGAAGAAAGATACTGAACTCTGGCTTCGTAAAGAAGGATTGGGTGACTCATTCCCCCTGTGTCATGAATACTTTTTGAACCCCTTTTCAGTGGGACAGGTTGCATGAAGTACTTTCAGAGAAAGAAGCAGACACACAGACCCAATACTGGCTTTGTAATGGCTATATTGATTACTAGGCATGTGCAATCCATGGTTCTAAATGGTTCTAAAGTACTTACAAAACTAAAGTTCTGGTTGTGAACACTAGGGAGGTGTTGGTGCTTTGCTTCTACAGCGTTGCTAAAGTTCTGGTGGTGAAAATTTCAGAACTCTAACAAAACTTTCAAAATTTTATTATAAATGGCACTTCCTAATTGGCTCTGTCATAAAAATCATGTTGGGGTTCAGCCTGATCCTGATCTGTGTGAACCGGATTCTCTGATAGTTTTTCCAACTGAGCAAGCTCTCCCTGACAGTGTGGGATCTGTTGTTGATGCTGAGGTCAGCGACAAGGAAAGTGAAACTCAACAGCTGGAGGAAAATGTTTTGGAAGCTAGCCGCGATATCTCTCCACCTGGGTTTTTTTAATGAGGACCGAAGAGAACAGATAGTTAGAGACAGAAATGTTTCACAGTTTCTACGAAGGTCAAATCGTTTACAGGAGAGACAGGCCCAGGCTTCAAAGTCAAGGGGCGTTTCAAAGAATATCTTCTTTGGTTTAAGGGGCCTCCTGCCGGGTGTCTCTTTAGATCAAGCAACGTTTTGGACTGTGGCTGTGCCTTGGCAGAATTCCTGTGTTCCATGGCCGGTAATCCCAGAGGCTTCTTTTTTCAAGTACCTGGTTAGCGAGAGGCTAACAGGTTCCTGGTTCTTGTATTGTGGCTTTTGGAATTTTGCTCAAGTTCAGAGATTCTACTGAATGCTGTGTTTCTATTGTGGCTTTTTGACTTTGCATTTACCTTTCTTTTGTAACCAATTTTTCATCAATAAACAAGGATTGTTTTTCCTACAGTCCAGTGTGGCGGATTTAATCTTATGGTCTCGTTTCTTGATCTGGGATGCAACAAATCATCAGAAATTTTGAAAGTTTTGTTAGAGTTCTGAAATTTTCACCATGGCATCGTAAATTAGTTAAATTAGCCTCTCCGCCTAAGCAGTACCTAAATTTCCTACTTGACATATGCAACTGTCTTTCCGGCTGCAAAGGTCGACAGCAAGCTACACAAATTGGTCGGACACTCACTCTGACCCGGGCTGGCTTCAAACTCATGACCTTTCAGTCTGTAGTGATCTTAATGCAGCTGACTCCCAGACAGCTGCGCCACAATCCCGGTGTTTAACTTCCTTACCTCAAAGAGTCATTGTCTCTGACTATTTAAACATGTCTTGTTTACACCGAACTGATTTCAAATGCATTGTGATATGAGATTAAATTGTTTTTCAGTTGTATGATCAGTGTTTGCCATGTATTCTTTTGGAAGCTCCTTTAGGTCCAACTCCAGGAAGAAGATCTATATATAAGTAGAAGTTCTCCTTGAGAAGCACAACGTTTGGTCAGAATTATCCAAACAGCCCTGGAAGGTGTGGCATGAATCTCATTTCTGGCTCCATAAGGTCTCATAAACCTTTCTTTGCAGATCTAGATGTCCTTTACTGGAAGAACGTCAAGGAGCGCTTTGCTGCCCAAAAGAAGCTGCAGAGAAGGATGGTGAGGAAATTGGGTTGGGACAGCAGCACGACCTTCCTTTCATTGATTTTGGCATGGGGAAAACGAGGCCCTTTGGCTACACTTGCCCCCCAAATAATAGAACCTTGGAGTTGGAAGAGACCCCAAAGGCCATCCAGTCCAACCCTGTTCTACTATGAAGGAAGCCACAAGCTCTCCTGACAGATGGCCACCCAGCCTCTTTGAGAACCTTCAGAGAAGGAGGCTCCTCTAGACTCCCAAATAATTGACATTCCATTAGAGGTCATCAGCCCTGTCTCCTCCCACTGGAAGAAGACACCATCCAAGCCCTCCCTGCAGATGGCCATCCAGCCTCTGCTTAAGAACCTCCAGGGAAGGGAGAGTTCTTGTCAGAGTGAGACCCTGGGGTCTATGCACAGCGGAATTGAGGTTACCAGATCACACAGGCGCAAAACAGGACGCACTGCAGTTTTCAGTTTCAAAAATAACAAAGTTTACTTAGCATATCTTAAGACAGGTCTACCTCCAAGCAGGCTACATCATGACTCAAATTACAAGAAAGGAGATTCCATCTGAACGTGAGGAAGAACTTCCTGACTGTGAGAGCCGTTCAGCAGTGGAACTCTCTGCCCCGGAGTGTGGTGGAGGCTCCTTCTTTGGAAGCTTTGAAACAGAGGCTGGAGGGCCATCTGTCAGGGGTGATTTGAATGCAATGTTCCTGCTTCTTGGAAGAATGGGGGTGGACTGGATGGCCCAGGAGGTCTCTTCCAACTCTATGATTCTAGGATTCTATGAAGACTACAAAGCACAGCACACAACAGTTTCCAGAACATCTGCTTATCTCATTTCTCTCTGGCTGGATCCTCCCTTTTTCTTCCCAGGCAGGAAAAAATTGTTATTGAACTTCTGTCAAGGTCTTTACTCTCTCTGCCTCTTGCAACAACAATTCCAGCATACAATTGAACATAACGGAATCCATTTTGAATACATATAAACACCATTGTTAAACGTATTGAGACACATTGAAAAACATACATGCATACTTTCAATAATCCTGAGAGTTCTTACCCTCCAAGGTAGTTCATTCCTAATATTCAGGTGGAATCTCCACTTTGGAACATTTTTTTAAAAATTCTTAAATTAGCACATTTATAAAAATATTTACATACATACATGCATACATATAAATATAGGCTCCACTAGACTCCCAAGTAATCAATACTCCGTTAGACTTAAAAAGACCCCCAAAGGTCATCCAACACAGCCTCCTCCCACTGGAGGAAAACACCATTCAAGCCCTCCCTGCAGATGGCCATCCAGCCTCTGCTTAAGAACCTCCAGAGAAGGGAGAATTCTTACCCTCCAGGGTGGTTTATTCCTAATATTCAGGTGGAATCTCCACTTTGGAACATTTTTAAAAAATTCTTAAATTAGCACATTTATAAAAATATTTACATACATACATATATATAAATATAGGCTCCACTAGGCTCCCAAGTAATCTATATTCACTCCTGGTTTCATGCTGTTCCCTTTATGGCATTTCTGGCATAAAAACAAAACTATGATGTGCTGTTTCCTATGTCTGGGCGAACTACCGGTGCTTCTCTTAAGATTGAGATTTTCAGCAACTCAGTGTATTACAAGTTCTGAACATCAAAAAGGAAATTTATTTCTCAAAGTTGCAAACAGAATAGTCAAAAAGGAGTCTCCAGCATCCATGCTTAATTAATGCAAAAGCAAAGACCCACTGGGATTGTCCTTTGTTTTCCCCTTGAAGACGCTGGCCAGGGCCTCTGAGGATCTGGACGCACGCGAGGAGGAACGTGAGGAAGAAGAGGAGGAAGAGGACGCCTTGCAGAATCCCATTGAAGGCGGCATCGGAGCCGGTACGTCATCCCGCAGCCTGGGAATTGCGGCCGAAAGAATTGGGGAGACCTTCTTAGCGCTTCCGTCATGACCAGAGTCTTTTTGTTTCCTTCCGCAGACGATGACTTTCTAGAAGACGACGATGGCGCCCCGCTAGAAGACCCCGGAGGAGTGCCAGAGACAGGTAAGTAAAAGCCACGACGCCGCAGGATTTGAAGCCACGACCAAAACATATGGAAGTGTATTCTGGAAAACATTTTATTTTTTAAATATTTTTATTATGGTTTCAACTTTGCAGCGTTTGATCTACACTTGGTTTCCAGTGGCACCTATACTGTGCTGTTACACCCAGACGCTTTTATAAAAACAAAACTATGATGTGCTGTTCCCTATGTCTGGGCGAACTGCCAGTGCTTTTCTTGAGAAGATTGAGATTTTCAGCAACTGAGTCTATTACAAGTTCTGAACATCAAAAAGGATATTTATTTCTCAAAGTTGCAAACAGAACAGTCAATTGATAACCAAATAGATATTTCTTCTTTCTCTTCTCCACCAGTTACTGAGTCAGCCTTTCCCCAAGTGGCAAAGGGATCCAGGGATCCTTCACCCTAATCCAGAGCTGCTGTCTTTTAGAAAGGACAAGAAACAATCAGGGCCAGCTAATCACCTCCCAACGAAGGATTCCCCCAGGCAGCAACCTGCCAGGCCTTGAAACTGCTAGACCATTAAATGCTAATCAAGGTGACCAATTGAAACATTCACACCCAAGTCCAACAGACAAGAGTTCTTTCTCCCACCCTGGACATCATATTTCTGAGGATGCCTTTAGCCGTAGATGTGGGTAAAATGTCAGGAGAGAATGCTTCTGGAACATAGCCAGACAGCCCGGAAAACTCACAACAACCCAGTGGTTGTGGCCATGAAAGCCTTTGACAATACATATGCAGAATGATTTATTATTATTATTATTATTATTATTATTATTATTATTATTATTATTATTTACTCCATATAATACATTGATTATATTGATTATGTTTCCATTGGCACCTATACTGAAAAACATCTCATTGCATATAACATTTATTTTAATATTTTTAAATTTTTAATTATTGTTTCCACTTTGCACCATTTTATCTTCACTTCATTTCCATTGGCACCTAGACCGATAAACATCTCACTTCATATAACATTTATCTTATTGGCATCTTCTTCTAACAAAATGAAGTTCAAAAGGGATGAATGCAAGAGACTCCACTTAGGCAGAAAAAAAGGAAATGCAAAGAAATAGAATGGGGGACAATGCCTGGCTCGAGAGCAGGATGTGTGAAAATGATTTTGGAGTCCTCGTGGGGAGGAAGCTGAACATGAGCCAGAGCTCTTTGCCCCACCCCAGCCATTCCACAGATATATAAACCCATTTTCCTAATTCCAACAGACCTCACTACCTCTGAGGATGCTTGCCATAGATGCAGGCGAAATGTCAGGAGAGAATGCCTCTAGAACATGGCCCTATAGCCCGAAAAAACCCACAAGAACCTAGTGATTCCAGCCATTGACAATACAATGAGCCAGGAATGTCATGCAGCAGCTAAAAAAGCCAATGGGATTTTGGCCTGCATCAATAGGAGCCTAGTGTCTAGATCCAGGAAAGTCATGCTATCCCTCTGTTCTATTCAGCCTTGATCAAACCACACCTAGTATCACACTGTGTCCAATTCTGGGCACCGCAATTGAAGGGAGATGTTGACTCTTAAGCTGGAATGTTTCCAGAGGAGGGTGACTCAAATGATCAAGGGTCTGGAGAACAAGCCCTATGAGGAGCGGCTTAAGGAGCTGGGCATGTTTAGCCTGAAGAAGAGAAGGCTGAGAGGAGACACGATGAGGGCCATGTATAAATATGTGACAGGAAGCCACAGGGAGGAGGAGGGAGGGAGCTGGTTTTCTGCTTCCCTGGAGACTAGGACGCAAGGGAACAATGGCTTCAAACTACAAGAGAGGAGATTCCATCTGAACATGAGGAAGAACTTCCTGACTGTGAGAGCCGTTCAGCAGTGGAACTCTCTGCCCTGGAGTGTGGTGGAGGCTCCTTCTTTGGAAGCTTTTAAACAGAGGCTGGATGGCCATCTGTCAGGAGTGATTTGAATGCAATATTCCTGCTTCTTGGCAGAATGGGGTTGGACTGGATGGCCCATGAGGTCTCTTCCAACTCTTTGGGCCTATAGTCCCCCCTGGGATATATATACCTTCAGGGGAAGGTGGGCGGGGCTAGAGCCTAAGTCCAAACAGCTGTTTGAGGTTCCGAAATTCTGCTGCCCAGGTGCATCGAACTACATATGTGTAGATTTCACAGATGAACACTCGAAGAAACATGATTACAGGTGAGCAGCCATACTATCCTCAGTTTCCTCAGCCGCTTTTCAAAGGGATTCATAGTTTCCAGGCCTTTGCCCATCTCGGTTGTCTTTCTCTAGATACCTTCAATCAAGTCCATCTCCTCCTTGAATTGCTTTGCCCAGAACTGGACACAGGGTTATGACTCCAGGTGAGGTTTGACCAAAGCAGAACTAAGTGGACTAGAACTTCCCTTGGTCTAGATACTACACTTCAATGGATGGATGGAGCCTAGTATCGCATTGATGTGGTGTGCGTCAGAGTTTTTTTCGGACGCTGTTTCCATTGGCTCAGGCAGGGCTCTTATTCCTGCGTTTGCTTTACAGACCTGGATGGTGTCCCTGCCTCTCTCAGCTACGAGGAACTGGTGCAGAAGAACGTGGTACGTATGAACGTGGTACAACATGCCATTTCTTGCTCCCAAGAAATGGCATGTTGTAGGGATCGCTTCAGGCTGTTCTGGGATCCACACCTTTACTGAGCTTTCTTTTTTCTTTCCCTCTTTCTTTTTTTCTGTGTATATATGTATGTATCTACCCTGTTTTTGCACATGTGTTGTAATGTATTTTTTATGTTTTGGCTTTTTAAGTCTCTTCTGCTGTGTTTTTCAGTGTTTTTATGTGTGATGGTCACTTGTTGGCCTGATAGGTGTATTGTGTCCAAATTTGGTGTCAATTCATCCAGTGGTTTTGAGTTATGTTAATCCCACAAACAAACATTACATTTTTATTTATATAGACTAGCCGTCCCCTGCCACGCGTTGCTGTGACCTTCCCTCTTTCTCTCCTTCTTTCCCTCCTTCCTTCACTCCCTCTTTCCTTCCTTCCTTCCCATCTTTCCTTCTCTTCTTCCTTCCTTCTCTATCTCTTTCCTTCCTTCCCCCTTTTTCTTTCTCTTCTGCTGTCTTTCTTTTCTTCCTTCTCTCTTTCCTTCTTTCCTTCCCTCCCTCTTTCTCTACATCTTCCCCCTTCCTTCGCTCCCTCTTTCCTTCCTTTTTTCCCTTTTTTCTTTCCTTCTCTCCTTCCTTCCTTCCCCCTTTCCTTTCTTCCTTCTTACTTCCTGTCTTTACATCTCTTCTTCCTTCTCTATCTCTTTCCTTCCTTTCCCATTTTCTCTCTTCTGCTGTCTCTCTTTTCTTCCTTCTCTCTTTCCTTCTTTCCTTCCCTCCCTCTTTCTCTACATCTTCCCCCTTCCTTCACTCACTCTTTCCTTCCTTCTTTCCTTTTTTTCCTTCTCTCCTTCCTTCCTTCTTTCTCTAACTTTCCTTCCCTTTTTCTTTCCCTCCTTCTCTCGTTTCTTCCTTCTCTACCTCTTTCATTCTTTCTCTTTCCTTCCTTCCCCCTTTTTCTTTCTCTTCTGCTGTCTCTTTTCTTCCTTCTCTCTTTCCTTCCCTCCCTCTTTCTCTACATCTTCCCCCTTCCTTCACTCACTCTTTCCTTCCTTCTTTCCTTTTTTTCCTTCTCTCCTTCCTTCCTTCTTTCTCTAACTTTCCTTCCCTTTTTCTTTCCCTCCTTCTCTCGTTTCTTCCTTCTCTACCTCTTTCATTCTTTCTCTTTCCTTCCTTCCCCCTTTTTCTTTCTCTTCTGCTGTCTCTTTTCTTCCTTCTCTCTTTCCTTCTTTCCTTCCCTCCCTCTTTCTCTACATCTTCCCCCTTCCTTCGCTCACTCTTTCCTTCCTTCTTTCCCTTTTTTCTTTCCTTCTCTCCTTCCTTCCTTCCTCCCTTCTCTAACTTTCCTTCCTTCCTCCTTTTTCTTTCCCTCCCTCTTTCTATCCTTTTTGCCTTCTCTACCTCTTTCCTTCCTTCTTTCTTTTCCTCCCTCTTTCTTTTCTTTCTTTCTTTCTTTCTTTCTTTCTTACTTACTTTTCTCCCTCTTTCTTCCTTTTTTCCTGTGTTGTCATTTAGCTTTTTGTCATTTCGCTTTTTAAAGTCCATTCTGCTTTGTTTTTCAGTGTTTTTATGAGTGAAGGACATACACTGGGTTGTTAGGTGTGTTGTGTCCAAATTTGGTGTCAATTTGTCCAGTGGTTTTTGAGTTCTGTTAATCTCACAAACAAACATTATATTGGGTTGTTGGTTTTCTGGGCTATATGGCCATGTTCTAGAGGCATTCTCTCCTGACGTTTTGCCTGCATCTATGGGGGGGACTCAGGGCGGCTTACAACCGGCACAGTTCAATGCCCACACATAACCCCATTTTCCTAGTTTCCAGCAGACCTCACAACCCCTGAGGATGCCTGCCACAGTTGCAGGTGAAACATCAGGAGAGAATGCTTCTGGAACATGGCCAGACAGCCCGGAAAACCGACAACAGCCCAGTGATTCCAGCCATGAAAGCCTTCGACAATACATATGCACAATGATATATTATTATTATTATTATTATTATTATTATTATTATTATTATTTACCCCAAATAACACATTCTATTGATTACGTTCTGTCCTGATTGTTTGCCAAGTAACCTCTGTGACAGGTTCACCTTAAGTTGGAGATCACTTGAAGTCACAAAGTAATAACGGTGAGCAAGTCGTAGCGTGTCTCTCAACTGCATGAGACTCCTTCCCCTCTGAATGTGTTCTCTTGTTGCCTGTCCCTAGGAGCTCTTCATTGCCCATTCCCAGAAGTACGCCAGGGAGACGGTGCTGTCCCGGCGCGTCAGGGACTGGGAGGAGATGATGGGACCGCAGCTGGAAGAACAGGTGAGGAGGAGGAGAAGGAGGAGGCGCCTGGAGCTCCAGGACGTGAAGTCGGATCTGGCCAGGGTGGTCCGTGCCTTAGTCACTCCCAGATTGGATTACTATAATGCATTCTACGTGGGGCTGCCCTTGAAGACAGCCCGGGAATTCCAATTGGTACAACGGGCGGCAGCCAGGTTACGGTAGTCCACGCTCTAGTTACATCCTGTATAGACTACTGCAACACTCTCTATGTGGGGTTGCCTTTGAAGATGGTCTGGAAGCTTCAATTAGTCCAACGAACGGCAGCCAGGTTGTTAACAGGAGCGGCGCTCAGGGAGCATACAACTCCCTTGTTGTGCCAGCTTCACTGGCTGCCAGTTTGCTACCGGGCTCAATTCAAAGTGCTGGCTTTGGCCTTTAAAGCCCTAAACCAGTGGTTCTCAACCTGGGGGTCGCGACCCCCAGGGGGGTCGCCTGGCCATTTCGGAGGGGTCGCGAGGCCGCCTCCGTTGGCCCCGCCCCAAGGGCGCGGGACAGGTGAGGGCTCCTTCGCGCCAAGCCTGCCTCACCTGCCGCGCACTCTCACCATCCAGCAAGGGCACGAGGCAGGTGAGGGGTCAAAGCTGAATTGGTCGAAGGTACTGCAAATACGATCATCTGTTGCCCATACTCCCCCAAACATATTGTTTTTGTGATTAATCATTATGCATTAATTAGGTTCAATTTATGACAATGAAATTTATGACATCCTGCATATCGAATATTTACGTGACAATTCATAGCAGTAGCAAAATTACAGTTATGAAATAGCAACAAAATTTTAAAATAATTTTATGGTCGGGGGTCACCACAACACGAGGAACTGTATTTAGGGGTCACGGCATTAGAGAGGTTAAGAACCACTGCCCTAAACGGTCCAAACGTATCTCCCTTTACAAACCACTGAGGATCATCTGGGGAGGCCCTGCTCTTGGTCCCACCTTCGTCACAAGCACGTTTGGCGGGGACGAGAGACAGGGCCTTCTCAGTGGTGGTTCCTCGGCTATGGAACGCCCACCGTAGGGAGATCAGATCTGCTCCCCCCTCCCTCTTTTTTAATAATATTTTTTATTAAAGGTTTTTACAGTGAAGATTAAAAGAGATAGGAGTTGAGCTGTTGTGTTTTGCAGTGTTTTTATGAGTGATGGTCACTCGTTGGCCTGTTAGGTGTCTTGTGTCCAAATTTGGTGTCAATTCGCCCAGTGGTTTTTGAGTTATGTTAATCCCACAAACAAACATGACATTTTTATTTATATAGATTATTATTATTTGTGCCATCTGTACGCGGATGATGTCCAACTCTGTCACTCCTTCCCACCTGCTACTAAGGAGGCTGTCGAGGTCCTGAACCGGTGCCTGGCCGCTGTGACGGTCTGGATGAGGGCGAACAAATTGAAATTGAATCCAGACAAGACAGAGGTCCTCCTGGTCAGTCGCAAGGCCGAACAGGGCATAGGGTGACAGCCTGTGTTGGATGGGGCCGCACTCCCCCTGAAGACGCAGGTTCGCAGCTTGGGTGTGACCCTGGACTCATCGCTGAGCCTGGAACCCCAGGTTTCGGCGGTGACCAGGGGAGCATTTGCACAGCTAAAGCTTGTGCGCCAGCTGCGCCCGTACCTTGGGAAGTCTGACTTGGCCACGGTAGTCCACGCTCTGGTTACATCCCGTTTAGACTACTGCAACGCTCTCTACGTGGGGTTGCCTTTGAAGACGGCTTGGAAGCTTCAACTAGTCCAACGCTCGGCAGCCATGATTCTAACAGGAGCGGAGCGCAGGGAGCATACAACCCCCCTGTTGCGCCAACTCCACTGGCTACCGATTTGCTACCAGGCTCAATTCAAAGTGCTGGCGTTGACCTTTAAAGCCCTAAACGGTTCCGGCCAAGCTACCTATCCGACCGCATCTCTGCCTATGAACCCACCAGGACTTTGAGATCTTCCGGGGAGGCCCTGCTCTCGATCCCGCCTGCTTCTCAAGCACGGCTGGAGGGGACGAGAGATAGGGCCTTCTCGGTGGTGGCTCCTCGGCTGTGGAACGCCCTTCCCACGGACATTAGATTAGCACCATCTCTAATGGTATTCCGCAAAAAAGTAAAGACCTGGTTGTTTGTGCAGGCGTTTGAGTAGTTAGTGCAATGATTGGTAATGACATAGGAATGGAACAATGGATGACGGATCTGGATCGTGTTTTTAGTGATGAGACGTTAGTGAATGGTTATTATAGTAATTGTGTACTAACTGTGTATTAGATAGGTTGTTAATTGTTTTTATTGGTGCATTGAATTTTGCTGTTTCCAATGTCCAGTCTTGATAAAATAGTAAAGAATAGAGACATCAGACTGGCAACAAAGATCCATTGCCTAGTCAAAGCCATGGTCTTCCCTGTAGTCACCTACGGATGTGAGAGCTGGACCTTCGGGAAGGCTGAGCAAAGGAAGAGAGATGCTTTTGAGCTGTGGTGCTGGAGGAAAGTGCTGAGAGTGCCTTGGACTGCGAGAAGATCCAACCAGTCCATCCTCCAGGAAATAAAGCCTGACTGCTCATTGGAAGGAAGAATAGTAGAGGCCAAGATGAAGTACTTTGGCCACAGCATGAGAAGACAGGAAAGCTTAGAGAAGACAATGATGTTGGGGAAAATGGAAGGAAAAAGGAAGAGGGGCCGACCAAGGGCAAGGTGGATGGGTGGCATCCTTGAAGTGACTGGACTGACCTTGAAGGAGCTGGGGGTGGTGACGGCCGACAGGGAGCTCTGGCGTGGGCTGGTCCATGAGGTCACGAAGAGTCGGAGACGACTGAACGAATGAACAACAACAACGTGTGCTGTGAACCGCTGTGAGTCGCCTTCGGGCTGAGAACAGCGGTATAGAAGTAAAGTAAAGTAAAAGTAAATAAATAATTTGTAAGAATGTGCTTTTCTTGCATGGCAGAATGGGGTTGGACTGGGTGGCCCACCGGGTCTCTTCCAACTCGAGGATTCTCTGAATGGCTTCCCTAACTGGCAGGTGTTTTCTCTCCGCAGGAAGCCCGGGCCGCCTTCGACATCCACAGTTACGGTGACCGCTTAGTGTCCCGCTTGGGCCGCGTGGGTGAGTGGCAGTCTTTCGCCCGCCTGGTGGCCGGAGAGCCGGCCTTCGAGGTCTGCCGCTACATGCTGGCCTCCCTCCAGTTGGTGAGTATCGGGTCAGGCGAGGACAGCAGCCAAGGAGTGATAGAGCAGAACAGTGTTTCCCACTCTTTGGTCCTCCAGGTGTTTTGGACTTCAACTCCCACAATTCCTAACAGCCGGTAGGCTGTTAGGAATTGTGGGAGTTGAAGTCCAAAACACCTGGAGGACCAAAGAGTGGGAAACACTGTTCTGCTCTATCACAGCTATTAGTAATTGTGGGAGTTGGAAGTCCAAAACACCTGGAGGTTGGTTTGTGTGTCTCCTCATCCTGAAATGCTTGTGCGTGTCCACCCCCCCTCCCCTCCGCAGGCCAACGACTACACGGTGGAGGTCTCCCAAAAGCCCGGCTTGGAAGAGCGGGTGGACACCACGGCTCTGCGCCTGCTGACCCAAGAGAAGGCCCACGAGCGCTTCCGCACCTATACGGCCCCCTCCCTCGCCCAGCAGTGAACCACTCTCGGCCGCCTGCTCCACGCACATGTACATGTTTGTATATAGGGTCTCTGTACAGCTCATCCCCGCCCCCCGCCCCCTGTGTATTCCTCAGCCTCAACTCTATCTGCTTCACCTTTTCTCCCAATAAAACAAAAAATGTTTGTACAAGAAATCACCAAGTTATGAACAAGGTTGGTTCTGAAGGTCTGCTCTTAAGGTGATTTTGTATGTAAGTTGGAACAGGTGCATTTTGAAGTGTAACTTCAGCCACACACACACAAGTGGACAGGTGACTTCAGGGCAAATGCACAGGATCTATCATCTATCCATCCATACATCCATCCATGCATCTATCCATCCATTTTGAAGTGTAACTCCAGCCACACACACAAGTGGACAGGTGACTTCAAGGCAAATGCACAGGATCTATCCATCCATCCATCTCTCTCTCTATTGAGCTATTCATCCATCTACCTTTTCATTCATTCATCTATCTATCCATCCATTTATCCCTCTATTGATCTATTCATCCATTTATTCAGCCATCCATCCATCCTTTCTTCCTTCCATCCATCCATCCATTTGTCTATCTATCCATCCATCCATCCCTCTATTGATCTATTCATTCATCCATCCATCCATCCATCCATCCATCCTTCCTTCCTTCCTTCCTTCCTTCCATTTGTCCACCCACCCACCCACCCATCCATCCCTCTATTGATCTATTCATTCATCCATACATCCCTCTATTGATCTATTTATCCATTTATTCAGCCATCCATTCATCTATCCATCCATCCCTCTATTGATCTATTCATCCATCCATCCATCCCTCTATTGATCTATTTATCCATTTATTCAGCCATCCATTCATCCATTTGTCCATCCACCCACCCACCCACCCACCCATCCATCCACCCATCCATCCATCCCTCTATTGATCTATTCATTCATCCATCCATCCGTCTGTTGATCTATTTATCCATTTATTCAGCCATCCATTCATCTATCCATCCACCCTTTCTTTCTTCCTTCCATCCATCCATTTGTCTATCCATCCATCCATTCATTCATCTATCCATCCATTCATCTATCTATCTATCCATCCATCCATCCATCCATCCATCCCTCTATTGATCTATTTATCCATTTATTCAACCATCCATTCATCTATCCATCCATTCTTCCTTCCTTCCGTCCATCTATCTATCCCATCCATCCCTCTATTGATCTATTTATCCATTTATTCAGCCTTCCTTCCTTCCTTCCGTCCGTCCGTCCATCTATCTATCCCATCCATCCATCCATCCATTGATCTATTTATCCATTTATTCAGCCATCCATTCATCTATCCATTCTTCCCTCCTTCCTTCCTTCCTTCCTTCCATCTAGCTATCTATCCCATCCATCCATCCCTCTGTTGACTTATTTATCCATTTATTCAGCCATCCATTTGTCTATCCTTCCTCCCTCCCATCCATCCATCTCTCTGTCTATCCCAGCCATCCCTGTATTGATCTATTCATCCATTTATTCAGCCATCCATTCATCTATCTATCCATCCATCTATCCCTCTATTCAATGGTAAGGCTTCCCACCAAAATGGAACTGTAGAGGAGAGTCTGCTGAACAAGCCAGTACCTGCCGACTACGTTGCTTAAGTCGCATTGACCGACCGTCTGCACAGGGTTCCATACTTCGCACTTTAACAACACAACCGTTCAATGCTGAGGCTTTCCACCAAAATGGAACTGTAGAGGAGAGTCTACTGAAGAAGTCAGTACCTGCCATGTACCAGTACTACCATCAGTTAAGCAGTTACGAAGGCGGAGGTATGACTTCATTCAACCCTCGTATTTCAGTACAGCCTCTGGAACCCATCTCCGTAGGATGACACACCAAACACAAATCTGCAAATAAATAGTCCTTGCCTTCAAATTTATTGGGCATGTTTGAGTAGAGTTTGATTGTAGAGCAGAGTAGAGGTGGATTCCTTGGCTGTTAGTGTGTGTGAACTTGGCACGGATACTCAATAGGCCCAAATATGAACACAGATGGAGTTTGGGGGAAATAGACCTTGACATTTGGGAGTTGTAGTTGCTGGGATTTATAGTTCACCTACAACCAAAGAGAAATCCTAGCTCCACCAATGATGGAATAGAACCAAATGACCAGGAGAAAACACTAGAAGGGTTTGGTGGGCATTGACCTTGAGTTTGAGTGTTGTAGTTCACCTACATTCAGAGAGCACTGTGGATCCAAACTATGATGAATCTGGACCGAACTTGGCACGGATACTCAATATGCCCAAATGTGAACACTGGTGMAGTTTGGGGGGAAATAGACCTTGACATTTGGGAGTTGTAGTTACTGGGATTTATAGTTCACCTACAATCAAGGAACATTCTGAACTCCATCAACGATGGAATTGGACCAAGCTTGGCACACAGGACTCCCATGACCAAGAGAAAACACTAGAAGGGTTTGGTGGGCATTGACCTTGAGTTTGAGAGTTGTAGTTCACATACATCCAGAGTATGTGAGTTGTAGTTCACCTACATCCAGAGAGCACTGTGGACTCAAACAATGATGGATCTGGACCAAACTTGGCACGGATACTCAATATGCCCAAATATGAACATAGATGGAGCTTGGGGGAAATAGACCTTGACATTTGGGAGTTGTAGTTACTGGGATTTATAGTTCTGAACATTGGGGCAAACTTCCCACTCAGAATCCCCATGGAACAAAAGAATATACTCAAGGCCATCCAGTCCAACTCCCTTCACCAGGGCAAGAAAACGTAAACAAAGCCCTCCTGGCAAAGAGCCAGATAGATAGATATGATTCACACACAGAGAGAGATATAGTATCATAGATTTTATAGTGTCCCCCGAAGAAGGACAATTCTATGTGGCATGCTCATCCAAAGAGGCTCTGGTAGGTCTGCATGTGCTTCTTGACGCTCTCCGCGATCTTGTCCTCCGACTTGTTGCGCTGGTAGTAGTCCATGAAGAGCCCGTCTGGGCTGAGCAAGTAGATGATGACGGTGTGGTCCACAATGTAGTCCTGGTCCTGGTCTTTGGGGCCGGCGCTGTAGTAGACGCGGTAGGCTTTGCCGGCTTCCTTCACCTGCTCGGCCGTGCCCGTCAGACCCAGGAGCCGCGGGTGGAACTCCTTGACGTACTTGGCCACGGCAGCCACGTCGTCCCTTTCGGGGTCGACTGTGACGAAGACCGGCTGGACCTGGGGCAGGTGGGCCTCTCCGTCGAGGATTTCCACCGCGCGGCTCATCTTCTCCAGCTCCTCGGGGCAGATGTCCGGGCAGTGCGTGAAGCCGAAGTAGAGCAGGACCCAGCGTCCCCGGAAGTCAGATTTCGAGCGTGGCCGGCCAGTGTGGTCCACCAACTGGAAGTCCCCCTGACCGATGGACAGCTTGCGCAACTCCTCTATGCGCCTCCGCTTCTCCGCCTCGGCCTTTTCGGAGCGGACGTACAGCCCAGCGGCTACGATCCCGCTCCCAATGAGGAAAGTGATCGCGATCCGGGTCCTCAGTGCAAATCGGGGGCCGGATTCAGTACTCTTTGCGCTTCCCTGTGAGTAACGGCAATGGTTTCCGCCAGAGTTCAAAGCCCACCTCGTTCCAAGGAGGACACTCTGTGTCGAGTTGGAAAAGTTGGCTCTGCCCAAGTGCAAAGGGGGTTGCCGCTTCCTCATAGCACTGGCCAATATGGCAAACCAGTTGTGGCCTTCGGACATGGACTTCTGGCCAACGACAGGACAGTATCCTCTCCAAAGGGTCAAGCGAGGGACCCGACAGCCGAAGGAATGGAACATCTTCACAAGACTGAGCTGGAAGGAGAGAGAAGAGGTCAGCATCCATTCAAAGTTTTGCTGCATTTTAATGTTATGACTATGATTCTTCAATTGTAAGATGCACATTTTGCTCGAGGCACAATTAACATAATAATAATAATAATAATAATAATAATAATAATAATAATAATAAGGCATCAGGAATCAGGCCTTATTATTATTATTATTATTATTATTATTATTATTATTATTATTATTATTATTATGTTAATCCTGTGCAGGAGCAAGCCATCAGAACCAATGCAATTAAGGCCAGGATTGAAAAATCAGCGGATGACCCAAAATGCAGACTGTGCAAGGAAGCGGATGAAATCATGGACCATCTCCTCAGCTGTTGCAAGAAAATCGCACAGACGGACTACAAACAGAGGCACAACTCTGTGGCCCAGATGATTCACTGGGACTTATGTCACAAGGACCACCTGCCAGCAGCAAAGAATTGGTAAAGGGATCATAAACCCGCAAAGGTCGTGGAAAATGAACACGCAAAAATACTGGGGGACTTTCAAATCCAGACTGACTACACAGAGAAGCCATTGAAATCCACAAGGAGCATGTGGACAATTTCAACAGAAAGGAGGAGACCATGAAAATGAACAAAATCTGGCTACCAGTATTAAAAAACTCTAAAATTACAACAGCAAAACAGCAGAGAGAAAACAACCAGGCACATCTTAACACCTCTCAACAAAAGATTCTCCCAGGCTCAGTCAGGCCTTCCAATGCTAATGAAGGTGGTCAGCTGAAACATTCACACCTAGCTCCAGCAGAGAAGAACTCTTTGCCCCACCCCAGCCATTCCACAGATATATAAACCCATTTTCCTTAGTTCCAACAGACCTCACTACCTCTGAGGATGCTTGGCATAGATGCAGGCGAAACATCAGGAGAAAAATTGCCTCCATAACATGGCCATATAGCCTGGAAAAACCAACAACAACCCAGTGATTCCGGCCATGAAATCCTTCGACAATACATTGAAGTGAAGTACTTTGTAACCATTTATTTATTTATTTACAGCTTTTATATTCCACCCTTCTCCTCACCCCGCAGGGGACTCAGGGCGGATTACAGTGTACACATATATGGCAAACATTCAATGCCAATTTTTGACATACAAACATATACAGACATACACAGAGGCTATTTAACTTTTTCTGGCTGCCAGGGGAGCTGTCGCTTTCATCGTCCATCTGCAACACTGATGAAGCACTTCCGCATTCCCCGCATGCTTCCCCTTCCGCATTCCCCGCATGCTTCCCCGCTGGAATGCTTTTCTGGAGTCTTCTTTATGGCCTCATAAATCAGTTAATTTAGCCTCCCCACACTTTAAGGTGGTACCTAATTTTCCTACTTGACAGATGCAACTGTCTTTCGGGTTGCAAAGGTCGACAACAGGCTACACACAATTGGTTGGAAACCCATTCCAACCCGGGCTGGCTTCGAACTCATGACCTTTTGGTCAGAGTGATCTTAATGCAGCTGACACTCAGCCAGCTGTGCCACAATCCCGGTACAAATGGTGCTGCTGGTGTCTTAAACTACAACTCCCAGGATTCCAGAGCATTTTAATGTTATTACTATGATACTTCAATTGTAAGATGCACGTTTTGCTCGAGGCAGGATTAACATAATAATAATAATAATAATAATAATAATAATAATAATAATAATAATAATAAGCATAGTGATCTTGTTTGCTGTGTACTAATCTTGTTATGTTTCAAATATAACTGGGCCCGGTCCTGTTCAACATCTTTATTAATGACTTGGATGAAGGGCTAGAAGGCAGGATCACCAAGTTTGCAGACGGGACCAAATTGGGAGGGAGAGCCAAGACTCCAGAGGACAGGAGCAGGACTCAAAACGATCTTGACAGATTAGAGAGATGAAGGGCCAAAACTAACAAAATGAAGTTCAACAGGGACAAATGCAAGATACTCCACTTTGGCAGAAAAAATGAAATGCAAAGATACAGAATGGGGGACAATGCCTGGCTTGAGAGCAGCACGTGTGAAAAAGATCTTGGAGTCCTCGTAGACAGTAAGTTAAACATGAGCCAGGAATGTGATGTGGCGGCAAAAAAAGTCAATGGGATTTTGGCCTGCATCAAGAGGAGCCTAGTGTCTAGATCTAAGGAAGTCATGCTCCCCATGCACTATTCCGCTTTGGTTAGACCACTTTACCTGGAATATTGTGTCCAATTCTGGGCACCACAATTCAAGAGAGATGTTGACAAGCTGGAATGTGTCCAGAGGAGACGACTAAAATGATCAAGGGTCTGGAGAACAAGCCCTATGAGGAGCGGCTTAGGCAACTGGGCATGTTTAGCCTGAAGAAGAGAAGGCTGAGAGGAGATATGATAGCCATGTATAAATATGTGAGAGGAAGTCCTAGGGAGGAGGGAGCAAGCTTGTTTTCTGCTTCCCTGGAGACTAGGGCGCAATGGAACAATGGCTTCAAACTACAAGAAAGGAGATTCCATCTGAACATGAGGAAGAACTTCCTGACTGTGAGAGCCGTTCAGCAGTGGAACTCTCTGCCCCGGAGTGTGGTGGAGGCTCCTTCTTTGGAAGCTTTGAAACAGAGGCTGGGTGGCCATCTGTCAGGGGTGATTTGAATGCAATATTCCTGCTTCTTGGCAGAATGGGGTTGGACTGGATGATGGCCCAGGAGGTCTCTTCCAACTCTTTGATTCTATGATTCTATGATGATGATGATTATTATTATTATTAATAATAATAATAATAATAATAATAATGTATTACCTACCTCTCCTTTCAGCTCAGGGCAGGATTAACATTATAATAATAATCTATCTATCTATATAAATAAAAATGTAATGTTCGTTTGTGATATTGACAGAACTCAAAAACCACTGGGGGAATTGACACCAAATTTGGACACAATACACCTAACAACACAATGTAGGTCCTTCACTCAATTTTTTTTTTGATTTTGCTATGTGGGAGTTGTAGTTGCTGGGATTTTTAGTTCACCTACAGTCAAAGAGCATTCTGAACCCCACCAATGATGGAATTGAACCACACTTGGAACACAGTTCTCCCATGACCAACAGAAAATACTGGAAGGGTTTGGTGGGCAGTGTCCTTTGGTTTGGGAGTTGTAGTTCACCTACATCCAGAGAGCACTGTGGACTCAAACAATGATGGATCTGGACCAAACTCGACACGAATACTCTATATGCGCAAATGTGAACACTGGTGGAGTTTGGGGAAAATAGAATCGTGACATTTGGGAGTTGTACTTGCTGGGATTTATAGTTCACCTACAATCACAGAGCATTCTGAACCCAACCAATGATAGAATTGGGCCAAACATCCCACAAAGAACCCCCATGAGGGCCACAACAACACGTGGCAGGGGACGGCTAGTCTATATAAATAAAAATGTAATGTTCATTTGTGGGATTAACAGAACTCAAAAACCACTGGACGAATTGACACCAAATTTGGACACAAGGCACCTCTCAGGCCAACGAGTGACCATCACTCAAAACAACACTGGAAAACACATCAGAAGAGACTTAAAACGCCAAAAAGTAAATATTATATTACAACGCATGTGCAAAACAACATATATAAATACAAACACATATAGAATAATAGAATCCTAGAGTTGGAAGAGATCTCGGCCATCCAGTCCAAACCCATTCTGCCAAGAAGCAGGAATATTGCATTCAAATCACCCCTGACAGATGGCCATCCAGCCTCTGTTTCACAGCTTCCTCCGGGGCAGAGAGTTCCACTGCTGAACGGCTCTCACAGTCAGGAAGTTCTTCCTCATGTTCAGGTGGAATCTCCTTTCCTGTAGTTTGAAGCCATTGTTCCATTGCGTCCTAGTCTCCAGGGAAGCAGAAATGTGCCAAAAACATCTGGGGATCCCAGGTTGAGGACCACTGGCTGAATATGTCACGAGAATTTACAAACAAGGCTAATACAATGTATCGTCGAAGGCTTTCACGGCTAGAATCACTAGGTCCTTGTGGGTTTTTTTCGGGCTATAGGGCCATGTTCTAGAGGCATTCTCTCCTGACGTTTCGCCTGCGTCTATGGCAAGCATCCTCAGAGGTTGTGAGGTCTGTTGGAACTAGGAAAAAGGGTTTATATATCTGTGGAATGATGTCCAGGGTGGGACAAAGGACTCTTGTCTGCTGGAGCTAGGTGTGAAAGTTTCAATTTACCGCCTTAATTAGCATTTGATTGCCTGGCAGTGCCTGGAGCAAACTTTTGTTGAGAGGTGATTAGATGTCCTTGTTTGTTTCCTTTCTGTTGTTGTGCTGTTGTAATTTTTGATTTTTTTAATACTGGTAGCCAGATTTTGTTCATATTCATGGTTTCCTCCTTTCTGTTGCAGTTGTCCACATGCTTCTTGTGGATTTCAATAGCTTCTCTGTGTAGTCCGACATGTTGGTTGTGAGAGTGGTCCAGCATTTCTGTGTTCTCAAATAATATGCTGTGTCCAGGTTGGTTCATCAGGTGCTCTGCCAAGGCCCTGCTCTCGATCCCGCCTGCTTCTCAAGCACAGCTGGCGGGGACGAGAGATAGGGCCTTCTCGGTGGTGGCTCCTCGGCTGTGGAACGCCCTTCCTACGGACATTAGACTAGCACCATCTCTAATGGTATTCCGCAAAAAAGTGAAAACCTGGCTGTTTGAGCAGGCGTTCGAATAATTAGTGCAATGATTGCTTAATGAACATTGGAACGGAATAATGGATGATGAATCTGGATCATGTTTTTGATGATGAGACGATAGTGAATAGTGAATGGTTATTGCAGTAATTGTTTATTAATTATGTAATATGTTAGGTTGTTAACTGTTTTTACACTGTAGCATTGAATTTTTGCTGTTCTTATTTGTTGTGAACCGCCGTGAGTCGCCTTCGGGCTAAGAACAGCGGTATATAAGTAAAGCAAAGTAAATAAATAAATGGCTGACTTCTCTGGTTGAAGTAGTCTGCAGTGCCTTTCATGTTCCTTGATTAGTGATTCTGGCTACCAGTATTAAAAAACTCTAAAATTACAACAGCACAACAACAGAGAGGAAACAAACAAGGACATCTAATCACCTCTCAACAAAAGTTTGCTCTAGGCACTGTCAGGCCATCCAATACTAATCAAGGTGGTCAGTTGAAACATTCACACCTAGCTCCAGCAGACAAGAGTCCTTTGTCCCACCCCGGTCATTCCACATATATATAAACCCATTGTCCTAATTCCAACAGACCTCACTACCTCTGAGGATGCTTGCCATAGATGCAGGCGAAACGTCAGGAGAGAATGCTTCTAGAACATAGCCATATAGCCCGAAAAAACCTACAACAACCCATCAAATGCTAATCAAGGTGGTCAGTTGAAACATTCCCACCTACCTCCAACAGACAAGAGTCCTTTGTCCCACCCTGGTCGTTTATTTTTTTTGTATTGTTTTCTATTTTGTATTATAATCACCTCTCAACAAAAGATTGCCCCAGGCACTGCCAGGCCATCAAATGCTAATCAAGGTGTTCAGTTGAAACATTCACGCCTAGCTCCAGCAGACAAGAGTCCTTTGTCCCACCCTGGACATAATTCCACAGATATATAAACCCAATTATTCCTAGTTCCAACAGACCTCACTACCTCTGAGGATGCTTGCCATAGATGCAGGCGAAACGTCAGGAGAGAATGCCTCTAGAACATGACAATATAAAATCATAGAATCCTAGAGTTGGAAGAGACCTCCTGTGCCATCATCCAGTCCAACCCCATTCTGCCAAGAAGCAGGAATATTGCATTCAAATCACCCCCGACAGATGGCCATCCAGCCTCTGTTTCAAAGCTTCCAAAGAAGGAGCCTTCAACAATTGAATATGTCATGATACAATACAAGAGAATTTACAAACAAGGCCAGTACATCTGCCAAGGAAGATCACTTGCAGTCTAATAGGCAACTTTTCAAACCTTTCCCCCCAAATGACCCCCAGCCCTCCTTCCCAAAACATAACCTCACCCACGTGCTTCCCCCTTGCGCCTTACTTCCGGGTTCTCCCGCGCACCCCCGCTCTGGCTCTGCCAATGGTTCCGCCCGCCTCGGAGTGGCGCATGCGCACTGAGAGGCGGCTCCAGCTGCTCTCGCCCCGCCCCAGGGGAAAGGAGGCTGCAGTTACTCGCGGTGGCCAGCAGAGGGAGCCTTTTTCTTGAGAACCAACAAATAAGGACATCTAATCACCTCTCAACAAAAGATTGCTCCAGGCACTGCCAGGCAATCAAATCCTAATCAAGGTGGTCAGTTGAAATATTCATACCTAGCTCCAACAGACAAGAGTTCTTTGTCCCACCCTGGTCATTCCACAGATATATAAACCCCTTTTCCTAGTTCCAACAGACCTCACTACCTCTCAGGATGCTTGCCATAGATGAGGGCGAAACGTCAGGAGAGAATGCCTCTAGAACATGGCTATATAGCGCAAAAAACCTACAAAGAATCATAGAGTTGGAAGAGACCTCGAGGGCCATCCAGTCCAACCCCATGCCAAGAAGCAGGAAAATTGCATTCAAAGCACCCCTGACACATGGCCACCCAGCCTCTTTTTAAAAGCCTCCATAGAAAGAGCCTCCACCCACTTCGGGGCAGAGAGTTCCACTGCTGAACGGTTCTCACAGTCAGGAAGTTCTTCCTCATGTTCAGGTGGAATCTCCTCTCTTGTAGTTTGAAGCCATTGAAGCCATCTAAGATATCTCAAGGTATCTCCAACTTATGGTCATCTGAAATAATAATAATAATAATAATAATAATAATAATAATAATAATAGAATCCTAGAGTGGGAAGAGACCTCCTGGGCCATCATCCAGTCCAACCCCATTCTGCCAAGAAGCAGGAATATTGCATTCAAAGCACCCCTGACAGATGGCCATCCCACCTCTGTTAAAAGCTTCCAAAGAAGGAGCCTGCACCACACTCCGGGGCAGAGAGTTCCACTGCTGAACGGCTCTCACAGTCAGGAAGTTCTTCCTCATGTTCAGATGGAATCTCCTCTCTTGTAGTTTGAAGCCATGGTTCCCTTGCGTCCTAGTCTCCAGGGAAGCAGAAAACAAGCTTGCTCCCTCCTCCTCCCTGTGGCTTCCTCTCACATCTGAACAATGGGACCTGGAGTTACTATTTGACTTTAGGAGGGGGTCATCAGACTGTGATTTCCTTCCTTCACAACAAACATCCTTCCCAGCCTCACCTTTTACCTTATCTGATCCTGGAAGGGGAAAACCTGAATCAAATGATTATCCCTAATCACTGATCCATCACAAGAACAAAAAAACTAGTTTCCTTGGCTGGCTGATCCCTCGGGCACAGGAAATCCAGGACAGTGGGATGTCATCATCCTCTCCAGACACCTCGTCCCTCTTCCGTCCCGCCTCCCTCTCCCTGATTTGCTAAGGAGCCGAAGCGAGGGGAGTTTTGAAACTTCCAAACCTGTATTTTGCTATAAATATGCCTCTGATCAATGTACTGGTATGCTTTGTGTGCGATCTATCACCACGCGGCATCCTTTTCAGCTGAATCGCAATAAAACACCTCGGTGCTTCTTCTTTGACTTCGGCGGGCTTTATTTTCAATTTTAATTTCAATAAAATGGCTGAAATCAGGCTTCTCTGGCTCGCCAAAGTAGCGTTCCCTCTTTGGTGGGAACCAAGGGTCCTCTCTCCCTGAGGCAGACCCTCCCAAAGTTCCTACCGACTTCATTTGTCTATGTAACCAATATAATTATTATAAAACCCAGTACTGGAGTCTGTGTCTACTTTTTCTCTGCATATTCATGCCAAGTTTGGTCCAGATCCATCATTGTTTGAGTCCACAGTGCTCTCCGGATGTAGGCAAACTACAACTCCCAAACTCAAGGTCAATGCTCACCAAACCCTTCCAGTATTTTCTGTCGGTCATGGTAGTTCTGTGTGCCAATAGGCCTGTGCGGTTTCGTTCGTTAATTCGTTAATTCGTTAAACATTCGTTAATTTTTGCATATACGAAACGATAACAAAACATATTTTCAAACCCGGAAGGGTTTTTAAATATCGAAACGGCAGGCGCCAAAAAATTTTGTATTTCCGTCCATTTCGGAAATACGTAAGATGGCCGCCTGGCTTGCTGGGAGCTCTCCTCTCTCCGCGCCGGCTGAGCAAGCGAGCGAGAGGGCGAGCGAGAGGGCGAGCGGCGAGCGAGAGGGCGAGTGAGAGGGCAAGCGGCGAGCGAGAGGGCGAGTGAGAGGGCGAGCGGCGAGCGAGAGGGCGAGCGGCGAGCGAGAGGGCGAGTGAGAGGGCGAGCGGCGAGCGAGAGGGCGAGCGAGAGGGCGAGCGGCGAGCGAGAGGGCGAGTGAGAGGGCAAGCGGCGAGCGAGAGGGCGAGCGGCGAGCGAGAGGGCGAGTGAGAGGGCGAGCGGCGAGCGAGAGGGCGAGCGGCGAGCGAGAGGGCGAGTGAGAGGGCGAGCGGCGAGCGAGAGGGCGAGCGGCGAGCGAGAGGGCGAGTGAGAGGGTGAGCGGCGAGCGAGAGGGCGAGCGGCGAGCGAGAGGGCGAGTGAGAGGGCGAGCGGCGAGCGAGAGGGCGAGCGAGAGGGCGAGCGGCGAGCGAGAGGGCGAGTGAGAGGGCGAGCGGCGAGCGAGAGGGCGAGCGGCGAGCGAGAGGGCGAGCGAGAGGGCGAGCGGCGAGCGAGAGGGCGAGCGGCGAGCGAGAGGGCGAGCGGCGAGCGAGAGGGCGAGCGGCGAGCGAGAGGGCGAGTGAGAGGGCGAGCGGCGAGCGAGAGGGCGAGCGGCGAGCGAGAGGGCGAGCGGCGAGCGAGAGGGCGAGGGAGGGGGCGAGCGGCGAGCGAGAGGGCGAGCGGCGAGCGAGAGGGCGAGTGAGAGGGCGAGCGGCGAGCGAGAGGGCGAGCGAGAGGGCGAGAGGGCGAGCGAGAGGGCGAGCGGCGAGCGAGAGGGCGAGTGAGAGGGCGAGCGAGAGGGCGAGTGAGAGGGCGAGCGGCGAGCGAGAGGGCGAGCGAGCGGCGAGTGAGAGGGCCCGCCAGAGTGAGTGCCTGCCTTCCCTTAATTTCTCCTCCCTATTCTACTAAATTATTTAATAATTAAATTTAAAAAATATTTTAAAAATATTGAAAAAAAAAGGCCCCATCTTTACAAAATGTTTTGTTAATATTTACGAAATTTCGTAAATACCGAAACTTTTTTTTGGAAAGTTTTGTAATTATTTTAAATATCGAAACAAAAAAACACCCCAATTACAAATCGATTTTAGAAACAAATTTTTTCTTGATCAAACAGGCCTATGTGCCAAGTTTGGTTCAATTAGATCATTCGTGGAGTTCAGAATGCTCTTTGGTTGTAGGTGAACTATAAATCCCAGCAACTACAACTCCCAAATGACAAAATCATAATTTTTTGAGTGATGGTCACTCCTTGTATTGTGAGATGTTTTGTTGCCAAATTTGGTGTGATTTCGTTCATTGGTTCTTTTGTTTTTAAGGTACTCATTATGCACAGAGCATTATAGATAGATAGATAGATAGATAGATAGATAGATAGATAGATAGATAGACAGAGATAGATAGAAAGATAGACAGAGAGAGAGAGAGAGAGATAGATAGATAGATAGATAGATAGATAGATAGATAGATAGATAGATAGAGATAGATAGATAGATAGATAGACAGAGAGAGAGAGAGAGAGAGAGAGAGAGATAGACTAGCTGTTCCCGCCACGCGTTGCTGAGGCCAACCTTCCCTCCCTCTTTCTCTCCTTTTTTCCTACCTTTCCTTCCCTCCCTCTTTCCTTCCTTCCCTCTTTTCCTTCCTTCCTTCCTTCCTTCCTTCCTTCCTTCCTTCCTTCCTTCCTTCCTTCCTTCCTTCCCTCCCTCCCTCCCTCCCTCTTTCTCTCCTTTTTTCCTATCTTTCCTTCCCTCCCTCTTTCATTCCTTCCCTCTTTTTCTTTCCCTTCTTCTTTCTTCCTTCTCTACCTGTTTCTTTTCTCGCTTCCTTTGCTCTTTGGTTCCATCCTTCCTTGTCTCTTTCCTTCCTTCCCTCCCTCCCTCTTTCTCTCTTTCGTTCATTCTCTCCTTCCTTCCCTCTTTCACTTTTTTCTTTCCTTCTCTCCTTCCTGCCTTCTCTACCTTTCTTTCCTTCCTTCCTTCCTTCCTTCCTTTCCCCTTTCTGTGTATGTGTTTTGTGTGTGCATATTTCTTTCCCTCCTTCTCTCTCCTTCTCTCTCTCCTCTCCTTCCTTCCTTCTCTACCCTTCTTTCTTTCCTTCCCTCCTTCTTTCCCTTCTTCTTTCCCTTTTTCTTTCTCTTTCTCTCCCTCCTTCCTTCCTTCTCTACCCTTCTTTCTTTCCTTCTTTCTCTCCTTCCCTCCTTCTTTTCCTTCTTCTTTCCCTCCTTCTCTCCTTCCTTCATTCTCTTCCTTTCTTTCTTTCCTTCTCTCCTTCCTTCCTTCTCTACCTCTTCCTTCCTCCCTTCTCTCCCTTCTTTCCTTTCCTTCTTTCCTCCTTCCCTCTTTTCTCCTCCTTCTCTCCTTCCTTCTCTCCCTCCTTCCTTCTCTACTCTTCTTTCTTTCCTTCTTTATCTCCTTCCCTCCTTCTTTCCCTCCTTCTCTCCTTCCTTCCTTCTCTACCATTTTCTTTCCTTCCTTCTCTCCTTCCCTCCCTCTTTCTCTCCTTCTCTTCCTCCTTCTTCCATCCTTCTCTACCCTTCTTTCTTTCCTTCTTTCCCTTCTTCTGTCCCTCTTTCTCTCCCTCCTTCTCTCCTTCCTTCTCTCCTTCCTTCCTTCTCTACTCTTCTTTCTTTCCTTCTTTACTCCTTCCCTCCTTATTTCCCTCCTTCTCTCCTTCCTTCCTTCTCCCCCTTTCCTTTCCTTCCCTCTTTCTCCTCCCTCCTTCCCTCTCTCCTCCTTCTCCTCCTTCCTTCCTTCTCTCCTCTTTCCCTTCCTTCCCTCCTTCTTTCCCTTCTTCTCTCTCTCTTTCTCTCCTCCTTCTCTCCTTCCCTTCCTTCCTCTCCCTTCTTTCTTTCCTTCTTTCTCCTTCCCCTTCTTCTCCTTCTTCCTTCTCCTTTCTTCTCTTTCCTTTCTCTCCTTCCCTTTCTT